CCCTCTTCTGTCAGCACTGGGCAACTAGGGAACCTTTCCTGGCCCAGCATCTCACCAACACATTGGCCAACTGACCTATACTGTGATCTGCTGATTAGCCATGTCTGGTCCACCAGACCCCGCAGCAGGAGCGGTACCAAGCTGGTGGGCTCTACCTGGAGACCACCAGCAGAACACACATTGTGCCAGTCGCAGTTTCCCTCTGCAGTCACACTCCATCACAGGAACAGGCATACTCTGTGAAGCTCCATAGCCAGCAAAAGTGTACACTCCATGTCCTAGCCCATGTCTATGTCATCCAGAATGTGACCAGTGTGAGGACTGACAGGCACTGGATTAGAAAAAGAAATTTAAAATTTTCAAGATGCTCAAACATTTATTCAAATCCGTGTAATTATTAAGTGTTTTGAGGAATCTTTACTAATCCTCTGAAGAACCACTAGTAAAAATATTGATTATTCCATACTGCAAATACTCCTGCAAATGTGAGCACACGTAAACCACACGATAAAAGAAGAAGCTGCAATTGAAAAAGAGTTATGGAACAATAAAACAAGTTTATGCAAAACAGTGAAAAAAGTGATTAATCACTGGAAAATGTTACATATTAATGTGACACACAACTAATACACGGGAGGCAACAGAACTGCAGAGGGGTACCCAGGCTGAACATTGGTAGAACCTGGAGCTGGGAAGATAGAACAAGATCTGATGGGCAGTGGGCAGACAGTCCCTACTGCATCCCTCCCACCAGGGCCCCTGACATGCATGACTCCACCTGACAGCCCAAGAGCCACACACAGCCACTTGTCATGCTGAATGACAGCACTCTGGAATGAACCCACCACTCAAAGAACTGGGTAAAGCGACCCCTTGCTTCAACCAGCCACTTGGCCTGCAGTCAGACAGCTCTTACACCAGTTTTCATGCTTACTGCTCTACAGTGTCCCCAGCTGATGGGTAATAATGTTATACACACACTGTTAGTGGGCAAAGGTAATAAAATTGTGGACCGAGATGTTTTCATTGCTTAAGCATCACAGAAAACAGCGGTAAACCTAAGGAAAGGAGTTTACATCATCCTTACTTCTTGTATAGTTTAGGGCTAACTCTTAATGTGCCTTACACAAGAGTAAAACATATAAGTAAAGATTTCTTAAATAACTTTATAAATGCTTTTCTAATAAAAAAGTTGGTAAAAAATCCAAGTGGAACACAAATGACAGTGAATCTTTTGAGTAACACAAAAAATACTTGTGTCAGATATTGCCAAACAATCACTTTGTCCCAGAAGTCCAGGAGAAAAAGTGAAGTGCAGACAAAAAAGCTCAATGTTTTTACTACCTAAGAAGATCTGCTATCAATCAAGGGCAAATCTATGCTCACCATGAGTAGAGCAGCTTACTGCAGCCTACTGTAGACTTTTGATAACAGATGCTGTTTCATAGAGACACTTCCTTTTTACTCTCGGTTGCAAGAGACTGGTTTTGCAACGTCAAAATGCACCTGCTTTTCTTGGGCACCTGTAATTCCTTACTTTTACAATAACACGTGCCAAAGTTCATTTACTACAGTGTTCAAAAAACTGTTGGTCCTAAGAAGTCGAAGAAGAAAGGAGGTTTCAGCTGAACGCATTTTTGTGAGGTAAAGAGAGTTTAAAACAAATAGCTGCCTCCAGGATTTGCAAATACCAAAGCTCAATCAATTCCTCAGCAGCTTACCTAGCCTCAGTGGCAAGTAAAATTCAGCTTTTTGAGTGCACAGGGAGAGACCACCTAGAACAGATAGTGCCTAGAGAAATATAAATGTCCATATTTTACACATTATAATCGGAAAATAACGTGCAGTATCTTTCAAAAACAACTAAGCTTACAATAAACAAACAGTAACTCTGTTGGTCCGTATTTTCTCAAGAGATTAATTGTTAGATTCCTCAAGCACATCATCTAACATGTATTTGTACTTGCAAATCATCTTTGGTGCAAAAGGGATCTCTCTCTTGCAAAAGAAGCAGCTCAGTTGCCAAAAGAAGTGATGGATGGAAAGATACCTGAGAAATAGTTTGTAACAAAGCTTTAGCTTGGGTCGGGATGAAATCTTTTTACTGTTTTTCCTACCGGTAGCACAACTGTTAAAATTTTGAGACATATTATTACAGCACGATGGCTCTGCCAGAGGACTTACACCACATTTTGAACATCAATATTTTCTTGCTGAATTTTAGTTCGACACACATTTTGTAGTTATATGCAAATTTAAAGTAATTGAGATGCTGCCTTCAAAGAACAACAATAAAGTTCTCCCAAAAACAGATGTCAAGCATTTGGCAGTTTAACTAACAGAAAAGAAGACACCCAGCTGCATACAAATACACAATTTACACCTGCTGCATAAAGTTTTCTTCCTTTTGACTCCCTCCACACTAACCAGAATTGAAAGCGGATATTTGTAATTGTTTTCGTGGAGAAAAACCTACACTGAGAAGCACTCATCAGATAGGAAGCATCAAATTAAATGTGCTTCATACAACCAGGACCAACACCCTTGTACCTTAGCATGTACCTAAGCAGTTCTTGCTGAGTTTGCAGAACTGAGCCATATATGTGCTGATTTTATGAAACGAACAGGGAGGATTTTATTTCTGAAAATCAATTTAAATTAATGCCTTATAAAAGAAAAATACTTTTGAGGGCTTGCATACAAGACTGTGCAAGACTCCATGAAAAACTATGATTTTTTTTTTTGTTGTTGTTTGCTGATGCAAATCCAGCAGAATCAAAGAGAATATTGCTGCCCCTCCTGGTCCTAAAACAGATCTAGGTTTTTGATTTCTAAGTGCATGCCTGAAAAAAAAAAACCAAAACAAGTTCTGAGTAAAATCAGAACTTGTAGCCTCATATAATTTTAACATATTTAGGCATTAAAAATTCTGTTACTAGTCCCCTGAAATTTCATTCCAGAATTAAATTATTAGGACATGAAAACAATTCATAAGTTATATATAAGTGTTCTTCTTAAGCTCACAAAAAATCTGTAGACTATTACTATTTTCACCTCATTTTTATGACTCCTCTCCCCAAATAAATCAATCACAAAGTAAATTCAACACAGGGAGTTAAGCTCTCCACAGGGAGACAGTAGAGAATACAAATATAAGTCAAGTAGGAAGAAGAAAACTGAGATACTGGATAGTTTATACTGGGTTACTTCAAAGCCCTGAGAGAGGGCTGAAAGTGTTAAGATAATATACAATAAGTGCTGATTCCAAAAGAAATAATAGAAGCCTCTTTTACCAAACATGCAACTCTAAGTAAAAAGCCTCACAACTTCTACAACTACTTCTCCAACAGACTTTCTGTTACATGAAGAATTTTCTAAGGATTTTTCAGCAAAACAATTAGCCTTAAAACTAGCCTCAAAGTAGTTGTACAGATAATTAGCAGATCGGGAGATTTTGTCAAGAGTCCTCCACAGAGATAACTACCTTCTCAGCAAAGGGCACATGGAATTAGTCACACCACACACTATTAAGGGAAGTCAGACATAATAGTCAGGGTAAAACACTGCATTTTCAGCTATAATTAGAAGCAATTTTCTCAAGTTCTTTTTCAGCTATCTAAATATTCAGTTATTCTGAAAAAAAAAGAGTAAAGACTGGTCATACATCCTAAGAGAAGGTTTTTTTGGTTCAGAACTACGTTTTATGTGTTGAAGGTTCAAGTAAGTGCAATACTGCTACAAACATTTTAACTATTCCCTCCCTGCCCACTCCCAATTATAATTTCTTACTTAGATCACTACTTGTTTTGCTGTCTGTGTACCCAGCAAGTAACTATTTTGAGCAAAATTCAGAAAACTTGATCAGAGGAGACTCAGGACTGGAATAAGAAAATACTGCAGGTTGAAAACAGAAAGCTTAGATAATGTATATGTGAAAGTGTGTTGCTCAGTTTTATAGGCACGTCAGCAACAGAGTATAACCCTGCTGCCTCAACAGTGTTTAATTCACTTTTTTTTATTTTTAAAGATTTGCCTCTTTCCTTTGTAAAAAAGACCCCAAACAACAGGGGTAATGGCTACACAAAACCAACAAAACCATCTCTACAACATTCTGCTCAACGGTGTAAAAAAACAAATTGGAAAAAAAAAATCCAACAGCATACTTGTAGCAGTATATTAAATATCCAGCTTGAATTTGATCTTCCTGATGACTGCGCCCATTTAAAAAAATAGAAGTTACAAAGTTATGCTCGATTATAAAATGCAGGTGTTGTATTTCACGGCCTCTGAACAAGAAGTATGTGAGTATCACAGTAAATGTCGTTAGGGCAATTCTGAGGGTCTTCTAGTACAAGGTTTTCTACTGTCTGAAGACACCTGCTATGCAAACCACTAAATTGCTGGACAGCAAAAGGCAAAAGAAGCTGAAAAACAAGTGAGCTGATGCTTCTTGTCAGGCAGAAGCTGTAATTCAAATGTTTGTTGGGAATCATTGCTATCTCCATGCACAGTAAAACAGTAAAAATAATGCAGAGTCACACAGTTATAAATTTACAGTGGACAATGGCAGTGACTGGGAAAAGCATTTCAACTAAGTGTGATTTTTTTCAAACAAAAGTATTCTTTCTCCAGAGGAAATACCAACTTTTGAAGAAAAATTGCTATTCCAAAACTCCCAAAATTCTCATTCCCACCATCTTTTCTGTATGTAAAAGTCACCCTCAGATTTATGACCAGATCCAATGGTGGATCACCAAACAGGTGATTTTTTCCCTCAATGAGCTTTTAAATGAATGTAGCATTTCAGAAAGCTGAGCAGAAGACACTGCATCATGCTCAGTGCAACCAGAGTAATAATCACTGAAAAAATACATTCAGAATGGTAGATAATTGTATTATTAATAAATACAATTAGCATATGTTAAAAAATCAGGCATAAATGCAGGCATGTCACTGACATTAACTGCAGGTTTACTTGTTTAATATTTCAGACATCCTACCTCATTATTGACTTCAGCAGGTTTTTTCTTTGTTTCTCCAATGTCCAAATAGCTGTGGAAAGAAAAACAGGTCTGATCATTTACAGAAGCATCTAACTTACACAATACAAGTATTTCCACACTTCTTTCACTCATGAAAGTTTTAAAATTTGTCATGCCTCAAAAAACAGAAAAGCAAGTAATTCAAGGTTTTAATAAGAGACTGTTAAAATAAATCTGAAGGGTAGCCCTCTGGGCTAATACAAAAGATGGGGAGAACCAAGCACTGGTGATTAGAAGAGGCCATCAGTAAACCCCTTATCAGAAAGAAGCTCAATACATTACTGTGAGGCGGATCAATAAATCTCAGCACAGTATCACTTTACCCAAGTTTTCAAAGTCATCATCTTGCCTCCTAGTTTCTCACAGTAACTCTCTGCTAGATCTAAGGTTTTCCTCCACACCTGAGTTTAACTCAGGGCATCAGCTAAAGGGTAAAAGGATCTACACCGCCTGTGTTTCAACAGAATGTGGCCACATCTGAACACTCACTTCTTGTGGCTGGATGAACCAGTAGAATCTTCATGACTGATTTATGAATAGACAAAATACAAGCCTCAATCGGACAAGCAAACAAATACGCCTATTTAAACAATACTGGTCTCCATGTAATGGAGAGTAAACATTCCCACTGGAAACATTGCATTAACACGAAAGTGGTAGTTGAAACACACGCTGATGGATTAGCTGTGCGTTGCTTTCCCAAAGAAAGGGAACTAAACAAGTCTCTAGGCACGAGAGACTGGCAAATAGGCAACTATTCAGGTACCCAGACCACGCTCACTCCTTTTCCTTGTCAGCACTCTGAGAGCCATGAGAGCAGCTCTGCTCATGAATGCAGCTCTCAGCAGCTCCTGGTACTGCAAGATGTTTCAAGTTCTCAGTGCTTGTAGAAGAGATAAGATGTAACTCAGTACAGCCACACCTTCTGCCAAAAGCTAAACAGGGGAACAACAATGGCTGGGGCATCTATTTTTGTGCTGGGAGCATCTAACCCAGCATTAGGTAATTGGCATTTGTCATCTCTGCTCCCACTTCCAGTGGAAAACCATGGGTGCTTTACCAGGCTTTTAAGAGCAGAAGGCCTTATTTAAGAAATCAGGTAGACCTAATGCCAAGCATCAGTGAAGGCTCATCAAAAGACCTCAGAGTTCTCAACACATCTGCAGCTCTCCATTAATGTCCTGTTCTGTAGTTAATGACTTGGATAACACTTGTTTGCAAGAAGAAACTTTCCTGCTTGGCTGAAGTTGACAATTCGTGGGACCTGAATGAAGGTGTAGAACCAAGAAAGAAAGAAAGAAAAAAAAAAAAAAAAAAAAAAAAAAAAAAAAAAAAAAAAAAAAAAAAAAAAAAAAAAAAAAAAAAAAAAAAAAAAAAAAAAAAAAAAAAAAAAAAAAAAAAAAAAAAAAAAAAAAAAAAAAAAAAAAGAAAAAGCACTGTTCATTCTTTGAATCATTTATCAAGGTGCCACAAGGCATGGTCACAAGGATTCCAAAGCTTCAGGGTAAGGGGACAGGAAGACCCAGCAAGGCTTCCAGGTCATGCCTAAAAGTGCATGCCAATGCTTTGGAAAAGGGAAATGTAGTAAGGTAGGATAATATTTTAAGCTTCCCAGTGTAAAAAGGTACATTCTCTTGAGACCAAAACCAAGAGGTCTTGCAGCCTGCAAGACTGAAAAGAAATAAATGCCTCAGGTGAAATGGTTCCAACAGCCTATAGGAACAGCTACTGACTTGTTTTCTGGGCATCTGTGAATTACTTTGAGGAGAACTGATAAAAATGACAAAGAAAAACAAATACACAGTCAAAGGCTTAAATTCACCATGCAGAGGTCCAGGCACTTCAGGGATCTGCAAATCTGAAAAGTTCTAAACAGGGCCAAAGGCTTTTCTTTGGACAGTAGCACTCAAAAAAATCCCAGACCAAAAATTTTACAAAAATATTCTAATTTGCTAAGAAACCAGAAATACTTCCACCCAATGACTAGCCAAGCCAGTGGTGAGACTAGTGTTGTTTAAAGTGGCACTCCTGGAGAGAGGACAATCTACCATTAATTAATGAGCACAAATAAAAGTAAATGGGCAAAGGAAGGAGGAAGGTAAAGTAGCATGCTGAAAAAAAGCTAGAAATCAAAATTTGGTCCAGCATAGGCAGCTTTCTTTCAGGAAGCTCAGAGCTGGGGATGAACTTAGAGAGGTGCAGGTAATAATAATATGCATTAGCACTCATCATCACAACTACAATACACCAACACCTATCACCACATATAGACCAAAAAGCGTGTGTTCGCTTGGCACATCTGCAAATGACAAAACAAGCTGCAAAACTTGTTATACACCACAAAAATTACCAATATTGAGTAATAATTCCTCCTTTAAAGAAAATTTCTATGTATTTTTCCTGAGAGCAAAATTTCTAAATGCTGATTGATTTATATTTATTTTAAAAAATTAAACCTATCAGCAGTTTATATAGAATATATACCCTCAGAGCTATCTATCCCAAGATGTTAAGATTCAGAGCATGAAATGATAAGAGGATCACACACTACAGGTAAGTGCAGTTTAGTCTAGAATTCACTGCAAACAGGAAAGAAAAAGATTCAGTTCTCAGTGGAAGGCACCTGAGAAGAAACAAATGCACTGCTTGAAGAGGAACAATGACACTTTCAACTTCTGCTTCATCTTGGATACTCTCTCCCTTACAGTCCCATGGCTCCCACACGTCAGTGGCACTGACCTCCATTTCCAAGTCCAGCCCTGCACAGTCTATCATAGCAATGAATATGTCCAATAAGCCTCACTGGGGAAAAAAAAACAATAAATAAGTAAAATTATTTCAACTTCTCGCTGCCATCAGACCAACTCAGATCCTTCAGGGCAGATGCTTGGTCTCTCACAACTGCAACTGCTTTATGTTTGCCCGTGACACATCAGACAAATATATACTCTTTCCTTTTATGCTTCAATTCCTATCAGAAAACTGTCCCAGCATAATATAAACAAATACTAATAATGAAGAACTCCAACTCTAAATGCAGAAACGGAAAAGATCTCAAGTCAACCCATTTTTTCTCCCTATATTACCGGACCATGGCATCCTATTAAGGGTTATATGAAACAGCTGCTTTTACCAAGTACTTTAGGGTAGCTTTTCTTAAAGTATTCTCTTTGTTGGCCTTAAAAATTAGTTACCTTGTTGTACATTGCAACCATAACAGTCTGAAAAGGTCTTTCCCCATAAAACTCTGACCATAAAGTGTGAACTGACAAAAATAAATGCTTTTTCCTACCCAAAAAAAAAAAAAATTCAGGGTGTTCAATTCTGTAAAGAGTGCATCCTAATGCCAAACACCCACTTACTTTTAGCCTGTCAAGTACCAAAACACATTTAGGGAGGCGTAACGTGATGTGCTGACAACTAACAACTTTAAGCCATCCACAGACTCATAGGATTTAATACCAAAAAGATACAGCAGATCTTTCTTGAGGGTTGAGAGCTGCATTTGACAAAGACAGCACTGTGGGAAAGGGGCCTATATTTAGCCTTACAGATGTAGCCATACATCTTTCTCTCCAGCTTTGCCACTGAAGCACAAGAGCCTTCAATAAATCTTCAGAAGCAGCTAGTGACAGAAATGGTAAGGGTGCTGATAGAGATCCTGTTCATTAGACAGAGAGTTTTGTCGTGAAACATGAGCTCATAATGAGCTCTCCTGAAAAATGTAGTGTCCGTAACTCTACAGAACCAAGATGAGGAAGACCCTGTAGAGCTGATAGTTTAGCATATAAATTTTCAACCACCTCCAGAAAGGGATTGTTAATTTTGAGAATTTTTTTAAATTTTAATCCAGCTGCAGAAAAAATGCCCACAAAGACTGAAGACAACATATAATAGGCAATTGAGACCATGAAATTCACTGCCAGAATTAAGAACCACTACTGTTCACTTGCAGAGCCTCTTGGGAAAAACACCTAAAAGCCCAGACCTCCTCCACATTATTCTTCCAGTGACTGACTAAAAAAACAAAGAAACTATCAGCTTAACTCTTCGGGTCCAGATTGGAAAAAGAAAGCAAGTGGTCATCTTTTAAATAACAGGAGGGACTCAGCTGTTCTGGTCCTAAAACATGCCTATGCAAAATTAACAGAAGTGATGGAGAGGTGGATAACTGGGTAGAATACTTTAGACTTGAAAAAAAAAACAACCCCAAACTAGAAAGGAAGCATGGGGAATTAGATTCCCAGGCTCATCAGCTTCCTAGCAGGACTGTCAACACTCCATCTTTTTACAGCTTTCACCCTGTTACTCCTCAGCACAAATACTGATACTCAGCCCTTCAGTCAAGCATAGGCATCACAGCAAGGTGCCACTGCCGCACGTCCTGCAGGTTAAAGAGCTGTTTCTCCTTTTGTACTAGCACGTCAAGGAGATGGCAGATGCGACTGATGGTATCAGCAGCCTTTCTGTGGCTCACTTCTAAAGCTCTTTTCCTTTTGCCTTGGGTCACAGCCTTTATGTTCTCTCTCTGCAATGCCTAATAAAAGGGATGTGATGGGGGATCCTCTGAAGTACTGTCACAGTGCCAAACCCCAAATGCTGATATTGAAGTTCCATATAAATGTCACGTTACTTTTTTAGCCACTCACTTGAGTTTCTTGAAGGCTTCCCTGCCACCAGCCACATACTGCTCTCCGCTCTGGAGCTCCTCCAGCTGACGGACACGATGCCCACCCCTGGGGGTATAGATGTTCCGCACAGCTCCAAAGGGCGCCTTCACACCGCCTGTCACCTCTTTCAGGAACACATCAAAGTTGGACACTTTCTTCTCGTTGATGACAATACGGCGCCCGGGGAAGAAAGGGTCCCCGTTGCGATACACCAGCACGCTCTTCACTGTGGGCTGCGAGAGCCAGGAGCCCTTTGTGCCAGGACTAGTCATGCTCGGCGGCTTCAGAGCCCCTGCCCAGCCCAAGCCGCACGGACGAGCTGCCCGCACCTGTTTGCTCGGCTGAGGGTTCCTGTCCGGGCTCCCCCTCTCGCCCTGACAACTCCCTGCCGGGGCCCGGGCACATGGGCACACCTCCCGGGAAGCGAAGGAGGGATCAGAGCACCCCCGGGGCCCGGGCACAGCCCTGCTCAGCCCGGCAAGGGCGGCTCCTCCCAGGCAACCCGAGGAGGTGAAGGCGGAGAACACCCAATCCAGGCGGAAAAAACACGGCGTGGAAACCGACCCGGCGCAGCAGGTACACGGGCTGCGGGGGACCCGCGGCCTCCCAAGGGCCTTTATCCTCCGGTGATGCCGTCACGGAAAGTGCCACCGCTCTGGTTTCCTCGGGAAACTTTATCCCGCGTGTGGCCAGCCAGGCGAGAGCCCGGCCCGGAGCTGTCGGGGGGAAGATGGGCGAGGGAGCGGCGTGCCCAGAGACACGCAGAGGGGCGCGGGGTGATGAGGGCAGAGAGAACAGGACCAAGAGATCGAGGGAGGGAGGGAAGTAGGGGCTCTGCCTCCTTTTCCCGGACCGCCGCCCGTCCCCCTCAAGGGAAGGGCCGGCGGCCGAGCTGCCCTGAGCCGGCCCATCGCCCCCGCTGGATTTTGGCGCACCGTGGGTGCAAGAAGCCGTAAAACCTGAGAGAAACTAAAAGAGGAAAATGCCTTACATTCAAACGTAATTCTTTTAACAACTTCTTTCCTCCAGTGACAGTCTCAAGGGTTCTAAAACGGGACTAGACCTTCCTACCTGGAATTGTTTAGTGCACTGTAATGATTGTTCTTCCAAATGGGTTCTAACACATGCGATGGAAGGAATTTTCTTTCCTTTTATCTTACCTCCTTTGATGGGAAAATTGCCCCCCTGCTGTGAGTTACAACAGAGCAGTTAACCATTACAAAAAGAGCAATTTCAGGGCGAGGAAAGTCAAACATGCTACTGTTATTGGTTAACAGCTAAATTTCTCCGCTTGCTGCTGGTTTCCTTCTAACTAATAAAGGGGAGAACCAAACATTTACTATCCTTGAATTTATACTGTTTAACATTGATCTATTGCTACCTGAAATGAAATTTTTTGTTATTAAATGAATGTATGCTGCTGTGTAAAACACAAAAATGCTCATGACTTTCACACCGGTCTGCATTGAAGCAGTGATATGTCAGCTATCTGCTATTTTGTGCCAGATGCTGCCACATTTGGTGATCTTAGGCCTAATCTGCAATCAGTCAACATTTTTTGATACAGGTGTAAGACATTGAATATTTTCCTCGTGCACCCACACTTGTGCTACTCCAAAATACTGTTGGTCTGTACCTATGGCCATGCTAATTACAGTCACTTTATGGATTGCAATAAAATATCCCCGAAATTGTACCAGAGCACTGCTAGCCTTAAAAAAGCCTCGAAGTGGTGGGCAAAATCTTTGTCTAAAACTGGAGGGATATTATGAATCCCTTGAAAAACTTCAATGCAGAATTTTGCCCATAGTTTAACCTTTACGTAGTTAATAGCTGTGTCCCTAAAGACCTCATCTTCCAAATCCAGCTGCTTGCATTTCTGCCCTCTATCCCTTTACTTGTGCTGCAGCTGAATCTCATCTTTTTCTTACCCTTAAGGCAACACCTTCAAATCCAGCCCCTGAAAAGCGACAGTGCCCACTATTTCACACCAGTCTTTTTAGAATGAAACATATTATTTTCTTCAGTAATAGGAGCAAACCAAATCAAAACAGTGTTTCCAATACAGTACAAAGTCAGCATGTTTTCCATCTCGCCTAAGTACACCCACTGCCCCAAAGCTAAGAAAAGGTCAGATACTTCAGCTCATGATAGCAGTGCCTTGATTCATGACAATCTGCTTGTCCTAGCCTTTCCAGGGTCTGACCTTTTATTCCTGCTATTTTGTTTCAGTTTCTAAGCAATCTCTTATCACATTCTCAACAGTAAGGAGACAAGCTGCTCAAGCCACGGACACGGTTAAGGTAAATGCAGAGATATATTATCTCTTTATGATGGAGTGATGTCAGACCTCTCATCTTACATGAGGTTGGTGCATGACACCACGTCTGTCAGGTCGTGTGTCAGGATCCCCTGAGGTCACATAACAAGCACATGTTGGGGGATGTGGTTTGGATGGCAGTTCCATGACTAAGCCAGTCTGTGCTGGAGCTGTACTTGCATTTAGCTAAATAAAGAACAGCCATCAGCCAGTTTGTGTCAGTGAGCTTCTTCAACAAACAGCACATGAGCCTGACCCACTTGTTTTGTTTTGGTGAGGTTTTTTGTTTGTTTGTTTTTATGGTTTTGGTTTTGTTTGATTGGTTTCTTTTGTTTGTTTATGTTTGGTTGGTTGGTTGGTTTTTAAATACAGCAAACCACTCCCAAAGGTTGGCACTGCAGGACCGCTGGATACCTGACATGTGCCTACAGCAGAAGCAGCAAACTGCTTGTCGGTATTTAGAGCTGCAATAAATAGATGGCAGTTCTAGATCTCCAGTTATCTTTTATCAGCAGTATTATGAAATGAGACATTCTGTCTGTGCTTCATAACTGTGCCAGTTCGCACCCTGTGCTGCCTTCACCTGTAAAGATAGAGGTGATACTTGGTTATTGTCTGCCCTTCCAGACAGTTGCAATGGTGACTGATAATGCAGCTATAATGACATACAACATCAGTGCTTCCTGGTACACTGGCCTATTGTATCGTACATACCAGAGTTTGTATCAGTATGCATTCAGTGTGAAGTTATGTCATCTTATTTCCAACACTAAGCAGTCCGAACAACAGATGAGCAAAGGAAAACAAATAGATCAACCCAGCAGCTTCTCCCTTTTTTTACTGAGGGATATGAAATGTCAGCTGTGTGAGACTTCCTGCGCATTCATTAAACATAAATTTCGGGCAGATAGCCTTCAGATGCTTCCCTAGCTTTTGCATTCCGACATGAAGAACCAACATAGGCTGCCACGCCTATGTTGCCAGCAGTGGTGTGCATTGGTTTCCTGCCCTCCTGAGGTATTTTCTGTGCTGTCTGGTATTTCTAAATTTTAAGTATCTCTGACATCCCAGAGTCTTAAATTAGTATTGCACATACTGCCACCTGCAGAGATTAACCAAAATAGAGCTAGAATACTCTGTTTAAGTGGATTTCAGCCTTTTCAGTCAACATTTGCAGACAGGCATGGTTACCCTGAAACTGAAAACCTCTGATGGCTTCAGTCTAGTTATACATCGTATGTATAACTACTGAGGAACTTTTTTATATAATTACTTCCATGTGAGGTCATTCATCTTTGTGCAAGGTGTGCGTAAACCACCCTTCTGATTCTGTACATATCAGTTCACTTTGGACAAAGGCTCATCTATGTATGTTAAGATATGTATGTACAAATAACACCACAAATGCACGGGTGATGTGGTGGAGGAACAGAGAGGACAGAGCTGGCCTTCGAGTGACTTACCTTTAACTTACAGCCCAGCTGAGAATACTATTTGGCCCTGACCCCTTGTCTTCAAAACTCTGATCTGCGTTCTGGGCAGTGCCCTCCTCTTGGAGCAGCCACATTGTACGGATCATTTCATTAGCGGCATAATCACTTCCTTTTTTATTTCCCTGCTAAGGATTAATGAGTGCTGTAAGTACAGTCTGATAACGTGTCCCGCTGCAGGGCTCTGGACACAGGCTTTGCCTCTATGCCAATTTACACGGTTCAGCAGAACCAGCCAAAGGAAGGATACTCCTGCTACCTGCATTACCCTTTTGCTGCATTTTAAAAGGAATATTTAACAGCGGAAGCTATTAGTACGCTGCAAATTAAACTTTTAGATCTCAACCAACCAGCTTGTCTCTATTTTGGATACGGAAGCAGGGCAAGGGAATTTAATTGCAAGACCTTTGCTGGGGACAGAATTGCTCTGCATTTGAAAAAAAAAAAAAAAAAAAAAAAAAAAAAAAGAAAGAAAGAAAAACAAACACAAAAGGAGCGCATTTTACAAGTAAAATCTTCAGGAAGTGGCCGAATGCGGCAGGGAAAATCCCGGCCACAGCAAGGTGCGCTCGCGTTACCAAGGGCTTCTGGAGGTGGGATTTTAAGAACACTCATGTCCTTGAAAGGAGTTATCCATTTGACTGAATTTTCAGTTCAGTTGTTAGAGGAGCTCAGGCGAGCTTCACGGGGCTCTCGGGCTTTCCCCCCGCCCCTTTTTCACATATCACCACGCACAAAATCCAGCTAAACTCAGCGGGGTCGAGCACAAGGCTGAGAGAGGGGGTGGTTTCACAGATTTCACAGGTCATGGCTTTGTGCATGTATGAAGCTGCGGCTGCGAACGCTCCAGCGCGCCAACAGACGGAACAGGATACTCCAGCCAAACACAGCAGCGTGTCGGCGGGACTCGGGGAGCCGCTCCCGGCCCCGGCTCCTCCCCGGCCGCGCAGGGGTGACCGTCACCCTCCGCGCTCCGCCCTCGCCGCGGCTGCGCGCTGGGAGCGGAGCGGAGCGGAGCGGGGCCGATGCTGCGGGGGATCTCGCTGCTGCCCCGCGCCCTGGGCGGCGGTGGCGGAGGTGGCGGTGGCGGCTGCTGCTGCTGCGCTCCCCGGCTGTGGGCGGGCGCGGCGGGCGGCGGGTCCCGCCCTCGGGCCGCTCCGGGGCTTCTGCCGGGCCGCGCCTGGCACAGGGACCGGCCCGCGGCGGTGGTGGCGGTGCCGCCGGGCGCCCGCGGGCTGCGCTGGGCGGGTAAGCGGGCACGGGGTCGGGGTCGGGGTCGGGTCGGGCTGTGGGGCAGCACAGCGGGAGTGGCCGCGCTGGGTGCGGGGCCGGGCCGTGCCCTCGCGTTGCTGGGGGGGGCTCGTCGGGGCCTTGCGGTGACCGGCGCTGCTGGGGTCGTGTGTCCCCGCGCGGGGCCGGCGGCGGAGGGCAGGGCACCGAGCGCCAGAGGGCAACTGCGGCGTGCTGGGCGTAGAGCTTGTCTTGTCTTCCCCCAGGTGAACTGTGCCGACATGCCACCACGGAGACCTCCCAGGCCACCCTA